CTAAGTCTCAGGGTGTTTGAGGGACTTAGGGTCATACAGCTAGTAACCAAAAGAGAAGTGATTCAAATTCTAACTTTTCTGATTCACATCCCACTACACTCAGCTACCTCTGTATAAATAGCCTAATGCAATTATTTCCTTTGTCTGATTGACGGTATTTTAGAAAAAGCAATTTACACAAATAAAATTTATATATAACCTACACTTACAATATTCTGATAACAGAACCCTACTTTTTAATTATATAAATCAGTATCACATGTATTCAAGGTGGGTTTTTTTAGTCTTAATGGAAACTTACTAAACAAACTATAAATTTTAACACAAGTATTTGAAATCAGAATCTGCAATTACATGTTACTTCTATAACTGACTTAAATTAAATTCAACTTCATTCCCTTTTTCAGACATCAAAACACAGAGGCATTAGGACTGAAGTCTAGAAAAAGATGTCCTGAATTTTAATTCTCTCTCTGCCACTTATTAGAAAGTAACCTTGGATGTGAAATTTATCCTCTTTGTACTTCCATTTACTCATTTGTAAACAGGGAAAAATAAAGGCACCCACTTCATAGAGTTTTCTGTATCAGTAAGGTAATATGTGGCATATAGCTAGAGCAGTACTCAGTAAATATTAGCTCTGTGTCACAATTAGTCAATCTAAAGAGGAAAAATTCTGTAACTGCATAATTTTTCTTCTGAAAATAACACGATTAGAATGGTTAATTAGGCATCTCTCAGAGTATTTTAGCCCTTTGAAAGCATTCACTATATAGAAAAGAAAACAGATATATAAAGCATGGGAAAAAATAGGTTTTACATATTGCTTCCTTTGTGCTTTAAAGTTTTCTGTAATGTTTTTCTAAATTCCTTTACTTCTATGCTATTTACCTCAACAAAAAGGTTAAGAATACATGGAACAATGAACTCATACCTCATCATCTATCCAAGATTACAGTTTGATTCAGTGCTTGATCAAAAGTACTTCATTCAGGGAACAAATTAGTGGCAAAAACTTGCCCCCCGGCCCCCTGCCTAGACTCTTCTTAAAAGAAATCTTACCTTCATGATTAAGAATTATAGGTTTTTATATTAAATTGATTTATTTTAAAATACAAAGCAGAAAATAAAAGTTGAAAAGCTTTGGCTAATTAACTTACTCCACTAATCATATTGGCTCAACTCAAAACACTAATACCCACGGCACTCTAGCCCAGGCAACAGAGTGACACTCTGTCTCAAAAAAAAAAAAAAAAAAAGCACTAATACATTATCTAAAATGAAATTACATTTAGAGCACTGGGATTGTTAAGTCCCAGTGAAAATTTCTGAGTGAAATGGGTTCCCATGACTAAGAAATGAATCCTTCCATCTATTACAGACAGCTCATGGAGAGAGGTAAAACATATTCAAAATGAGGTACCTTCCTAGCTATATTATATCTGAAAATATTAATCTTTTACTTTTCAAACCTTAGGTAAATATTTTTGGTTGATGCACACTATATTTAAATAGAAACAAAAAACTTTGCTAGGGATTATGACTAATGCTTTTTTTAACATAAAAAAATGGGATCCATGTTTCTCAACACTGATCAAGTGAAACCCCTAAAAGACTGAAAAACAAAAATCATTATATAGTTTGTTATTAATTCATTACAATTTGTCCAATGTTGTCCAACTTTTAAACCATCTATGTCAGTAAAAGAAACAGGATGTGACTTTCAAGCCTACAATTTGTGCAAAGCAATTAATCTCCCCCCCAAAAAAGATTGTTATTTCTTTTAAAAGAGTTCTAAAAGCAAACATTTTAAAGTGTTTTGTTTTCACTTTGGCATCACGTTTATTGGATGAATTTAGAAAAAAGTTAAAAAAGAAAAAATTGGTTGGTGTCTCTTGAAAGAAAATATTGCTACATGGAAAATGAAAAATAACAGACTTGCCTTTTTTGTCTTTTAAAGCTTCAACATCCACCTGTCAGTAAACATATCTAGTACTTTCTGAGATTCTTCTGATTACCACTTTTACTTTATATGGATTATTATGATTCCTCAGTGGGAAGTAAATTGACATGTCATCTCTTAAGATTGTTAAAATTCAGAAATGTCACATTTTATTTTGAATATTTTGTAGTCAGTCCAAGAGTCCCCAGCACAAGTTGAAGTAGACAATTTATGATCATCCAGTTAATTGAACCAACAGAGATAACCAAACGGTATGATCCAAGCTCTCAAGTCACATATTTTAAGTAAAACTAAGTTAATTATTATTTGAATGACCTATAAATTCCCACCTATTGAGTATGATATGGGCATAGCCTCAAAAATGATGTGGAAAAGTGGATGAGGAACTAAAAATTAAAACAAATTTTACCACTAGTCATTATTTTTGAATTGAAATTTAGTAAATTTAGCTAAAATTTAACAAAAATTTTATGTGCCTCAATTTATCTGGGAAATAAGCACTTCCTAATTTATTCCAGCAATAAGATTAGCTAAATGTACATTATTAATAAATTCTGGGAAGATATTATTGATTAGATAATTTGATAATCGATGTTTTCTGTACACTGGGATTATTTGCCTAAATTTATTTGAAACACACAATTTGTGACACAATTGCACAATTTTAACATGAAAAATAAACATTTTTATATTGATTTTAAAATAATGTTGACTACAATTACTGGATTTCATGGATAACAAGAAAAAGAAAAATGACCCTGTTTTCTCTCTATGTCATACCAGAAAACTCCTTTTCTTTCTGAACCTTATAATCCTGACAATGTTATTTAAGCCCTTTGCCTTTCCTCACCTATAAAATGATGAGGGGAGAGAAGCTGTGGATTAACTAGAGGATTGTTAAGATTTAATGAGAGGAATGAAAAGTACTTAATAATGATTAGAATGTAGTAAATCCTCAATAAAATTTCTTAGCTATATCCTTCAATATAGTACTAATATTAATATAATGTTCAGTAAATTATTAATATTATATTTACACAGCATGAAATATCTACTGGAATTCAGTGAAACTAAATAAAACATTAGGATTCAGTATGGAAAAGCACAGAAAGTCATAAATAATATCTAATGAATTTGGGGAAAAATAAGCTAGGTAATCTTCCTATAATTCAACTCTACATTAGATTTATAATTCTTTAAATGTTATCATGAAGGTAATCAATAGCTTTTTACAGTTAATAAAACAAAATTTTACATCGAAAACCATCAATTGCTCACAAAAACTCTGTTAACCTTCTGATGACCTGATTCACATCAAAAGTTTGCTTGCTACAATATGAAGTGCTGACAAATAAAATTGAATGTTATGTTCAAAACTGAATGTTTGAGAAGGAAAAATCAATAAAAGAAAATATATGTATAAACTGGAAAAACTAAACCAGTTTTCTTAATTCAGGGTACCTACTGTGATATAACAGGTAGCGATCATCATATTGGAAAAATACATGAAATAGTTATCCAAATTGCTTATGACTCATGCATATCGATGGGGTTCATCAAAAAGCAGTCAAGGAAAATTTTATTTCTTTAAACAGTCACGAGATTCAAAAGTTTTAATAATTGATGAATGATTTTAATGAAAGGAGAACTATATAACTGAACCAAATTAATCATCTTAGAAACAGAACCAGGCTGAGAATTAGGAATTCAGGCCATTGCTTGTAGCTAAGGTAATATGTAGCTAGAAAATTATTCTGCAGTGTATATGAGATGATTCAGGAGAACTATTGTGATGAAATTGTTACTGGTCTTAGGAAATGAATTTATGATTACAGAATGGAGGAAAACATTTCTGAAATGTATCTGTCTTTCTAAGATTTACATTGAAAGAGCCAGTAGTGCCTGGTCATGTTAATGACATCCAACATAAGAGCAAGTTTGATAGGAAGTAAACATGTTATTTTGGGTATTTTTAATAATAATACCTCCTGTGATGGCTGATACTTTAAGATATATAGTTGCTCTTTGACTATAAAAATAGATCAATTAACACATAAATCAAATAATGCTAAGAATTACAAAATGGTCAAAATTATAGCCATAGTCTATAGCCATAGATAATACTATATTATCTTATCAATTTGTCATCTAAAAATAGTCTTGATTTTAACTATTAATATACCTTTTTATCCTATAGAAGGAAGAGTGGTTCCAATGAACAAAATACATGAACTGTTGAATTTATCATTATAAATAATATCTGACCAATAGTTTAACCTTCATGAGAAATTCTGTGCCAAAATTCTAAACCTGAGTTCTAAATTTTCAACAGGGAAAAAGAATAGTCATCCATTCATTCCCCAAATATTTATACCTTGGACACTAGATGTATTAATAATTAGGAATACAAGGATGACAAATCATGATTTGTGACTTGAAGGAACTTACTCATTTAAGGCTAGAAAAATTAATAAATAACAGGAGAAAGAGAAATAGTGCTGTGTTGGGAGAAAAAAGATCCTAACTTTAGGAAAGTGACTATGTCAGATATAGTATAGAGTTGGGATGGTGAAGTCTATCAACGATTTTCCCAAACATGTAGGCTCTAGGAAGAAATGACATATACTATGGATGTGAATCTTCAATCAAGAAAATTAATATCTATTTTTATTATAGAATTAATTATTATAGTTTAAATAAAAGAAGGTGGCTATATCACAAACAAAAATAATGTAGAGTTACAGTGCTAATTTTTTGGCTAGCCATTTTTCTCAAGTTCTTTTTTCCCTTATATTTTCATTTATGTTAAAGATACTGAAGCTTAATGAATTTTAAAGTTTAGGTAGAGAGACAAAACAGCAAGGTAAACTAGGAAAACTGGATGGTCAGAGGGAAAATTCAGACCTTAATATTTCAAAAGTATAATCAAACTGATGTTGATTCTAATATTGTAAGTTGTTCTGCGTTGGTAGCTAAAAAGAATTCCATATATGTAAAAAACTTTATTCATCATTTATAGATTTTCTGATTTACCTACCTATTGTTTCACTGCTTGATGTTGTAATCCCTGGAATGGATGCTGCTGAATTTGAGAAAACAATGAAAACTAAGTTTTGTGTAGACAGGAAATTATGCTTCCAAAAACATCTATGATCATACATAAAATGAATCAACTTGAAATTAATGTATTAGAAACATTTAATCATATAGGACAGATAGATGTCCAAATGTGATATTACAGTTTTAAAATTTAACTATAAGTAAAATGTTGAAAACTTATTAATGTTTTTTCCCAAATGCTTCCTCTAAGACATTCTTTAAAAAACAAAAATTTGTCTACTTCCTCTAAAAATGTCATTGCAAAAGCATAATACTAAAACGGAAGTTTTGAATGTTTTTGAAAATTCCCCCTTGATTAAGCTGTGGTTGGAGGCGATAGCTTACCTGTGTGTGAGCTACTGGTAACCAATGTAATTGCTATGCAAAGGAGACAAATATTTGGAAATGTATGTTAAAATAGTAGCGAAAGAGTTAAGATTTATTCATTTAGACCTGCTTAGAGATCCCCAGAATGCCAATAAACGATTAAATGTAACAGTTAAGTTCATTTATAAAATGTTCACACATTTCAATATAATTTTATACTCTGCTAGCCATTGCTTTAATTACACACCATCCAGTTAAAGTTAAAATTCCTCAGCGTTAGTAAAAGAGAATTGTAAATTATTTTCAGAGAATTTCATAAAGAATTTTCTAGCATAGCCTCTTTCTCCAAATCAGTAGTATGCAGAATGTTCTTTCTAGGACAAATAACCTTTGAGAAGGGAAGATGATCTTTACCAGTTTTACAACTGGATGTAGACCTGGCTACTTGGCATGGGCATTGAATAAATGAGTAAATGGAGAATGATGAATTTGAAAAAAGGGCCCAAACACCTGAACTGTAAATTCTTTTCACTGCTCACTTAGGAGCTAAAAAAACTAATAGGCACTTTTTTTTTTAAATTTACCTGCGCCAGTGCTTAATATGGAGGTAGCTGTTGTAGAGGAAACTGTTTAGGAAAGACAATAGATTAGTTGAATAATTTTTTGCTAGGAAATTTAGTTCAAGAAAACAGTTGCCATAAACTAAAATTAAATTTTCTTAAATATTTGCAGAGGTTAAGGGACAAAATAATTTTTCACTTAAATCAATATGAATAACACTACATATTTGTTTTATGTCCACCAAAACAACTAATTACTTCCTGTTATTACCACTTAACGAAAATCCCACAGGAACTTTATAAGGTCTATCTATGGGCCCAGAAATATGATTCAGAGCCCTTGTGTGATGACTTAGCTTCAAGAAGTGACCAATAATAAAAATAGTATTTTACAGAAGGTCACACGACTTTAAACATATTATTAAAATTTAAGGTTTCTAATTTATTGTACTATCTTCTAGTTGATTCCACCTCCAAACATCAATCAATCAACAGAAAATAAAATTCTTCTTTAAATCTCACAAGGCAGACACACGTAAGTGTACTGAAGCAACTCTAAGTGTACCTATGTTGCCAGTAAGTTAAATGTTCCAAAACTAAAGTTAAATCCCATTTTCCCCAGTATTCTCTTGAATAAACATAATGTAGTACCACTATGGCTTAATGCAAACACATGAGTTAAGAAAAATAAATTAACTTTTTATTTCAATGTTTTCCAATCCTCCCTCAGTGTGATCATTATTTTAAAATATTTACTTCACAGAAGACCACATTTACTTCATCCACTTATCCAATTATTGTCTAAAAATGTCAAGCTTTGGATGATGACATTTAACATAGTTAACATTTAATAAACATAGTTAAAATATGAACTAATAACATAAATATTAACCAATAATACCTAATGTATGTTTTAATATTTCATTGATTCACAGGAATATAATGAAATAATATTTTGACATATTTTCTAGT